TTCTCTAGTTCGCGCGCGCGGGGCAGCCCCTGGGGGTCCCCGGACGAAAAGTACCCCGGGCGGGTCCCGGCTGATCCCCGGGCGACTCCACCAGAGCGCTCCATGAGCGCACCAACAGGGCTCCGAGATGTCCCCGAGAGCCCCAAGAAAGGCCAAGAGGCCCCCAAGAGGCCCCCAAGATGGTACACGAGGGGTCCGACATGCCACAAGATCGCTCCAAGACGCCCAAGATAGCCCCCAGACGCCCCAAGAGGCCTCCAAGAGCACTCCCAAGAGGGCCCCAGGAGGCAAAATTCATTGTTTTTCCTTAGGTTTTTGAAAGATTTTGGAGCTTCCACCTTTTCGGCTTCCCAACGCCCCAAGACGGCCCAAGAGGCCCCCAAGATCGCCCCAAGAGGGCCCAAGAGGCCCCCAAGACGGCCCCAAGATGGCCCAAGAAGGGAGAGGGAACACGAAACAACATTTCGAGCCCTCGGCCCTAAGAAGCCCCCACGAGGCCCCAAGAGGCCCCTAAGAGGCCCCAAGAGGCCCCCACGAGGCCCTCAGGAGGCCCCCAAGAGTCCCCCAAGCGGCCCCAGGAGGCCCCCCAAATGCCCCCCCGAGCACGCAAGCAAGTGCAAGCGATGCTACAATGTGCTCCCTTTTCGGTAGACTCCCAACGGGGCCCCTACAGACTTGCAACAAGCGTCAAGAACCTGCCCAAAAAGCACTGTCCAGGAGCTTTCACAAATGCCGCGAAGAAGCCCTCCTTACGCCGGAAAGCCCGGGAAGCCGGGTGGGGTAGGCTGTTCTTCTCACCACCGCGCCCTCTCACACAATGACTTCCGCACGCCGCCCAGAGCGCGACGTTCGGCTCATGCCCCCAGAACGCTCCAGGAGCGCGCCAAAACGGCACCGGAACGCCCCCGAAACAATCCAAGCGGCCTCAAGTCGCCGAACAATCGTTCCAAATCGCCCAAGATGACCTCAAAATTGCCGTCGAGGCCGCCAAGAAGCCCCAAGAGAGCCTCAAGAGGCCCTCCAAGACGGCCATTACAATCAAAAATCGTCCCATTCCCAGAGGAACATGTACACTTCCCGCATGAACGGCGTTTCGAGTTTCACAACGCCTCAGACTACGCAAATAGCCCCCAACATCGCCCCGAGGCAGCCCAACAATCCGCTAAAATCGGCCCAAGACGGCCCAAGATAACCCCAAGACGGCACAAGAGAGCACCAAGACCGCCCAACAGGCGCCCAAAGGGGATCCTGCCCCTAGGATCACCTCAGAAGCCACCAACATCCCGCCAATAAGTCCCCCAAGACGCCCCACGAACCACCCAAGAAGCCCAACAAGAAGCCCCAACGACCCCCAAACGGCCCTTACGGGGCATCAAGAGGCTTCAACACTGCCTCCAAGAGGTTCCCGAGACGCCTGGCAAAAGAACCCCCAAAGCGCCGCATTGACACCAGGCCCTCGGGCAAACGGCAGACATGAGACTGCATGGGCCAGCGGAATGAGCGAAACGATTAAATAAATCGGCACCAACGCGAACGTGACATGCTTCAACTCGAGAGCACTGATACACCAGCGCGAACAGCTGCTGGCCTTCCAAGCCTTCCAAGGTCTTCAGATGCAGGGCTGAGGCCCCAAACGTCTCTTCGCCAAAACAGAACGCCAGCAGCAGACGCATCACTGACCTCCGCCGCATCGGCCTCGGCACCCACAGACTGCCATGCCAGGCGGCCCACCGCCTCGAGCATGCCTCTGTCCTTCTGCCCTCGCGCGCGAGCCTCGGAGAAAACCGCGATGTCAGCAGTGGTTTCCCTCAACCATTTCTCCGCCCTCGGCCCCCAAGACGCGATCTTCCCACGCGCCAGGGACAGCGGCGGCGCCGCTCCCCCCTCGGAGGCCGGCGCTGCGCCCGCACGAGCTTCACGCACCGGGCTCGGCTCCGCGCTTGCCCCGTTCCTCGCACCGGTGGCCCCCCTTTTCGCTGGGTTTTCCACTGCGCCGAAGTCATGAGCCCGAGGCACGGCGCCACACCCACCAGTCGCCATCGCACGGCCAAAGAGAGCAAGTGTCAGCGTCAGCAACACTTTGCCTGAACGCCCACGCGGCCGCGCGGGCCGCGGCGCCAGCCTCTATCAACGTGCCCACCCCCGGCACAGCTGAGCACTCCTCACCAGCGCGCGTCGCCCTCCACGGACGCGAGCAGGTACTCGGCCGACCCCCTCGGGCCGAGCCACCACCACAAGGTCCCGCGCTGCGGCCCCACGGGTGGGCTGCAACCCAACCGCGGCCCACAGTGGGTTTCGTCTGAATGGGACGACAGCATTCGTCGGGGGCCAGCCAGGACCGCAGACGCCACGCAGATGACCCAGTCCACGTCATTGCCCCCACATGCCGACACGCGTCAGAGCTGCTCCCGAGACGCCGCCGACGCCTCCTGGTGAGCAGCCTTCGCTGCAACCCAAGCCTTGGCCGCCTGTAGCAGCGCGGCCTTCCTTCTGATGGCCCTCAATATCATCATCATCATCATCACCACCACCACCACCACCATCATCATCATCACCATCATCATCATAATCAGCATCATCATCATCAGCAGCATCATCATCATCATCATCAGCAGCAGCAGCGGCATCATCATCATCACCATCATCATCATCATCACCATCATCATCATCACCACCATGATCATCATCATCCCCATCATCATCATCATCAACATCCTCATCATCAGTATCATCATCGTCATCACCCCCATCATCATCATCGTCGTCATCATCATCATCATCAGAATCTCCATCATCAACAACATCATCATCATCATCATCATCATCATCATCATCATCATCATCATCATCATCATCATAATCATCATCATCCGCATCATCATCATCATCGTCATCATCATCGTCGTCATCCGCATCGTCACCATCACCAGCATAAGCATCCTCATCATCATCACTACCACTATCATATCATCATCGTTACATTCATCATCATGATCATCACCATCATCATCAGCATCAGCACCGTCATCATCATCAGCATCATCATCGGGTACTGCTGCGGCCTCGGCACGGGCGCGCTGAGCATGAGGAACCTCAGGCGGAACACCTGGGCCGCCAGCAACCGCCGCTCCGTCGCCATGCCCGCCTGGTTTCGCCCCGTCGACCGTCTTGCGCTTCTTGGCCAGCTGCTCCGCGCGGGCCTTGTACTCCTTCTGGGCGGTCTCCGCCTGCTCCTGGATCGACGAGAAAGCCTGGCGCAGCATGTCCGAAACACTCTTCTTGTGAGCAACCAACCACTCCGAGAAATCCTTCCTGTCCTGGTCCCAAAACTCATCGCCCGTGAGACCAAACGCGGCGCCGACATCCAGGCCGAGCGATCCGGGGTCGCCCAGCAAAGAGCCAATGTGCACGAACGACTTGGCACGAGGAGCATCTTGGGCCACGGTACCGGTGCGAGCAGCCAACGCCCGCGCCTCCTGCCCACAACGGCGCCGAGCCGCCGCCTCCTCCTCCTCCACGCACACGTCGACCTTGGCACGACACTCCTCAATGTAGCGACCAGCCCGATCCATCTCCTCAAGAGCATGGTTGGAAGCCTTTGAGGCGTGGCGCCTGGCTGTCTCCGTCTGGTTGATTCCCGACTCGGGGAGGGGCGGCTGCTTCGGCGGCTCGGACTCGACGGACTCAACCTGGAACTTTGCCAACAACTCAGCCGCCATCTCCGGCTGGAGCTCGACGGCGGCCTTCCGAAGGGTGGCGGCGACAGCGGCGGCATCCATGGCGGACTGCGTGGCTCCCCCAGAGCTTGACACTCCACCTCCGCGACGGTCGACACCTCCACCACCTCCCGCTATGCCGCGCCCTTGAGAGCGAGGAGCAGGACACTGACCACACCCGACACACAACCCACGACGCGCAAGAAGACGATCAAAACTTCAATGGCCGCAAACACAAACCGGGAATGTGGACATCTTGCCTCCTTCGCCCGCATTGTTCCCTTCGACTGCCGTCTGACACCCGCCTCCGTCGTTGCGGTGCCACGGCGCCAAGGTCTTGTTTTCACTGCCCTGCTGCTGCCACGGCGCCACGAGAAGGCAAGAAAGATGCCTGGCGCTGGGGCGGACCAACGAGAAGCTCTGGTCACGGCTGACCGACCGACTGATAAAAACTGCCGCAGACTAGCCGTATCCACTTGCTCCGATGGGGAATTCATCGTTTTGACCCAAAACGGCTACGGAGAAGTAGGAGGAGGAGGAGGAGGAGGAGGAGGAGGGGGACTGGGAGGAGGAGGAGGAGGAGGAGGAAAAGGAGAAGAAGGAGGAGGAGAAGGAGGAAAACTAGGAGAAAGAAGAGGGGGAGGAGGAAGAGCAGGGGAGGGGAAGGGAGAGGGGAGGAAAAGGAACAGGAGGGGGAGGAGGAGAAAGAGGTGGAGGGAGGAGAGGGGAGGAGGAGGGGAGGAGGAGGAGGAGGGGGAGGAGGAGAAGGAGGAGGAGGAGGGGGAGGGAGGAGGAGGGGGGAGGAGTGGAGGGGGAGAGGAGGAGGGAGGGGAGGAGGAGGAGGAGGAGGAGAGGAGGGAGAGAGGAGGAGGTAGGAGGGCGGGACAACCTGGGCCTGGTCAAGGCTCCCCCTCGCGAGGAGCAGCCTGGGGAAGCCCCTCCTTCCCGGTCTGGCCAAAGCCATCGCGATGCCGCAGGGAACGCCCACGCGAAGAACGACGCCCACCGTTCGGCCCCGTCGGGCGCCCGGTGCACGAGGAGCTCTACAGCAGCAACCGCGGAGGGGCCTGAAGAACAGCGAGCCCACTCCGAGGCCGAAACGTGGGCGAGCAACGACATATGTACATGTACGCCCTCCGCGGTCTTGCCTGCACGAACGTCCGCGTGGACACGCACTCCAGGGGAAACTAACCGCGTACGTGTACATATGTTGCTGGCCTCTGAAAACGTGCCTGATGTCAGCACCGTGGCCGCAGGGTGCGGTGCCCCCCCCCCCCAGAGGTCCTTGTCCAAGAACGAGGGCAGGGATCCCCGCGCGGCCGCCGCGCACGGCCTGCAGAAGCGCGCGCTGTAGAACCTCGGCTCGCCGAGGACAGGGGGGGGGAGGGGGAGGGGGAGGAGGGGGAGGAGGAGGAGGAGGAGGAGGAGGAGGAGGAGGAGGAGGAGGAGGAGGAGGAGGAGGAGGTCCGTAGCAATTTTGGCTCAAGCCATGTTGGCTCAAGTTCGAAACGCGGGCCCCGGCGCTTCGAACTTGGACGCTGCCAAGGGGTTGGTCCAAGCGTCCAACAAGAGGAGAGGCCTCGCAGCCTTGACACCAGACGTGCGCCAAAGCACGCGTCAGTGTTGTGCCCCACACGTGACACAGTGCATGCATAAGACATGGCGACGCCAGGGCTGCAAGCGGGACGTGGCCATGAGGCACTGGCAATGCTTGTGTGGCTACAAGTGGCGTGGGCGATCGTCGAGTCGACACCGACGGCAGAGCAGCGCCAGCAGGCAGTCGGGAGATCAGCCTCCCCAGAGAATGCAGCAGCCCCCGCCGCTTCAGGACGCCCCGTTCCGCCCGCGGCCGCGGGGCCGAGCAGGGCCAATCACGCGGGCGGAGATCCAGGCGCTAATCGACGGAGTCCCGATGGCGACCAGAGCGGCAGCGGAGAGTCATCCCAAGCTCGTGCGACCACCAGCCACTCAGGCCCAGCAGAATGCGCACGAGACGGACCTCACTCATGGCTTGGAAGTATTGGCTCAACTCGTGCTGGCGACACGTCGAGCGGGAGCAGACGACCCCCCGTCCCTGGAGGAGATGGCCGTGGCCAAGTACGCTATCAGCGCGCTCGACCCACTGCCGACGCGCATCGCCCAGACGAAGTACGAGATGACGGTCGCGAAGGGGAAGATCACCAAGCTCGAGGAGACCCTTGAGAAGATCACGCAGGAGCGGGACACAGTGGCGGAGAAGTCCTCATCCCTGGGGATCGCGCTGGAGGAGCTGGAGGCACAGGAGCAGGTGGAGCAGAAGGCGCGGCAGGAGGCCGCTCTGTCGCTCGACGTAGCCCCACCGCCGCCCCTGACCTTCCAGGAGAGCTTAAATATAGCACGCGACTTAAAAACCTATCCCAGAGCTATTCTACATCTTGGTTTTAGGCTGTTTCGTCTCGTTGTTTACGTTTTTAGGTCTCCAGTGCTAAAAAATAGCTCTCTGGAAGGTCAGGGGCAGCAGCCGCCGCCCCAGCCTCCCCCTTTCACGACCTCGGGTTCAATGGCAGCGCCACGGCCACCCTGCGCGGGCACCCCGTTCCAGCAGGCACAGCCACCAGCCCAGCTCGGTGGCACCATCTTCCAGCGGCCGATGGCGGCGCCACCAGACCCGGATGTGACCAGCCCCCATGACGGACGCGGACACACAGAATATCCTGGCCTTCCCCATGCAATTCTAAAAGAGGCAGCAGCAGCAGCAGCAGCAGCCACAGGCGCCGGTCCAGGGGCAGCCCCCCGCCCCCCCCAGAGGTGCTGGCAAGGGCCCCTGGGCGCCCTGGATGGGCCCCTTGGCAACCACGCCACAGCAGATGCCAGTGCGCCCAGCTGGCAGCCCGACGCCGAAGAGGGAAGCAGAGCCGACAGCCGAGGTCCCCAAGGCCAAAGTCCTGGTGGTGCACGAGAACGCCATGGAGGACGCTGGGTACAGTGGCCCCATGACGGACCCACCAGCGTCTGTGGTCTCGGTGGCAGACTCGCCAACACCCATTGGCGGGCTCTCGACTCCGTTGGCAGCATCCCAAGTGGCTTCAGCATCGGCTGCATGCATGATGCTACACAAGGAGGAGATGCGAATCAAGGAGGAGGTGGCGGCCAAGGACCCCTACGCGAGCGGCGGGATGTTCGGCCCGACCCAGATGTGGGGAGGAACGGCGGCGGCCTCCACTCAAGCGGCATCGGCTGCGCAGCATTACTTGGCGTGCACCCAGCCGATGGGAACGCAGTCGGAGCACGCACCTGGCCCACGTGCATCCATCACGGAAGCCGAGGAGCGGGACCTCTAAGCGACTCCCAGTCTCCAGCAGCGGTTGGCTTCACCCTGAAGATATCACATCCGACACCATTGTTCACAGGGGTGACTTGGTTGATTGGGTGACAGCTGTCGCGGGGCCATGGGCGTATGATCAGATACTGTGGAGTCGCAACATGGCCAGGTACAGTTGGCTTTGGTGGTGCGAGCACTTTGTGAAGCAGCGTTTGCGAGAGTCGCCTGAGTTGCAAGCGCTCACCATGGACTCGGCACGACGTCCTGCGTACCGTCAAGCAGATGCCCATGATATTTGCATCCTGGCTACACACGTGCTCATCAGTTGTGGCAGCGTCATGCGGAACGCTTTCGCAGAATCTAACACAACAACCCAGTGGCATGGGCGATGTACATGATTCCACGCTTGGAACAGCTACGGGGCGTCCGCCTACGTCTTGCTGGAAAGATGTCCGACCAGATCAACTACGAGAGCATGGTATCTGAGATCGAACGCCTTCATCAGGCCTCATTGGCCCACCTGGCGGTTCGGCAGCATCACTGGGAGCGCGCATCAGATGAAGATGTACCAACTGAACTAGATGAATTGAAATTGTTTCAGACCGCTTTGGAAGTGGAGAGCGGCGCGCAGCAAGGGGCTCCGCCACCCACGTCCACAGACGGGCCGCGAGCAACAACAGATCCATAATCAGGACACCCAGAGTTCAACGCTGCCAGCGCCAGACACCACAGCTTGTTTGACCCATCTTCATTGGGTCTTAAAGAGATGACAACTTTTGCGGCTGCGGTTGCCAGCCGCGTTATGCTAGACACGCTGGAGCTTCCGATGCACAGGGCAGACCTTTTCTTGAAGAGCCTTCCACGCGAAGACGCGGGAGGGGGGGGTTCTCCAGGGGGCCAGGAGACCCTCCCGGGGCCTAGGAATTCGAAACGCGCGCACTGGGGAGTTTCTCAAATCAGATATTTCGAGCCCAAAGCGGCTCTTCACACGCACGTACTGGATCACGGGCTCACACCAGTTCACCCTGTAGGAGCCCCCGCTGACCAGGACTTGCAAGCCACAATTCGAGAGCGGGGAGTCTGTCTGGAGCTGCCCCCCCCAGGGCCCCATAGGACCCCATCCCCCCTCCGTCGTCGCATTGTGTCGGCCAGGGTTGGTGCCAGAGCCTACGGGCCCCCCCCCCCCGACCACCCCAAGCCAGCTATGCAAACGAGTGGTCATATCGAGAAAAGTCCTGCCCACCCGCGCTCGCCATTGCAGAGTGCGCAGCATGATCAAGGAAAGAGCAGCAGCACCAGTTTGCGCTGCAAGTTCAAAGCATTGCCGCCTCTCTCTGGTGCCATTGCTACGTTTCCAGCCCCCTTGTTGGAGACTATTCCAGGAGAGGAGTTGCTGCAATCGGGATTGTTCGAGGACATACCCCGCATGGCGGTTCTCTGCGCTCCGCCAGGACCGATCGTGCCGACTAAGTTCTGGATGTACACGGACGGGTCCGACTTTCTCCGGGGTCAAGCGCGCGGTGCGTGGGCGTTCGTGGTTCTTGCTCGGAACCCCAGCGGGGCTTCGGTTTAAGGGCTTGGAGGGGTAGCCTGGAAACCGCGAGCTCCATGGGACTCACGGCGGAAAATGCCACTAATACGACGTTAATGTTACTTGGCCTTACTTGGGCCTGCCTCTGGATTCTCACGGCCCCTTTCGATGTTGAGTCTCATAATGTTAGCGACTCTCTGTGCACGATACATGCTGCTAGAGGGGGCCAGATTCCTCGCAGCGATCGGCAGATTGCGAGGATTACCCACGTTGTTTGGATGCATGTGATTCGCCGACGCCAGGCTCACATCCAGCACGAAAAGGCGCATGCTGGATGCCACTGGAACGTGTTAGCGGGCAACTTGACCAAAGCCACTGCCAAAAATGCGCTCCCCCCCCCCCGACTGCCCCCCCCCCCTCCTGGATCGATGCGGTCGCGTTTGAACCCAGTAGGGCTTGGGAACGGCTTCTCGAAGCCCAGCAGGAAGGTCGCCTCGACGGAGGTGCTTACCCCCAGGTTCGGACCCAAGGGACTCAGGGGAGCCTCAGCGGCCACACACCTACTTGCGACCTTGCTCAGCCCCCCAAGAGATGGGGAGCCCAAGGTCGGCACCGCACGGCTGGACAGCAGCTCTTCCAATCTCAACATGAGGAAGAGGACATCCTGATTGCGGGAGTGCAGGAGGGGAGGAATCGCAGAGGAACGAGGGAGGAGGCAAGGTAATGTTGTGGTGTGCGCGGCTGGACACGATCAGTACAATCTCGGAGCTGAACTTTGGATCAGCCTGACGACCCCCCATGCCCACCAAGGGGCGAATCCTATGGTCTTGAACCCCCAGAATGTTCAGCTTGTCCACGTGCACCCCCGCATCCTCTCGCGAGAATCAAGGCGCCTGCCCTCTCCATCATTGTCTTAGTGGCCCACGCCCCGCATGCTGGAAATGCCTGTGCTGAGCGGTCTTTTTTTGGCGGGGGCTGGAGAGCCTCACTCGCAAGTGGGAGTCTGACATCACTTGCACCGATGCAAACGGCAAAGTAGGTTTTCCCACTAGTGAAGCCGTTGATACTGCTGGACCTGCCAAGCCACAAGATGGCAATGGACAGCAGCTGCATGATATGCTCCTTGGTACCCACATGGTGTACTTTTGGACACTTTTGTGACCCTATTGGACACTTGGGTAATGCATGACTTCGAGCACCTGAGGGAGCATGAGGATCACTATCCCCTCGTGGCCGAGCTCAAGTGGAAGCAGAACCCTTCCAGAGAGAAGGCGTTCGTTTCGAGGATCGATCATCAAAGAGTTGAGGACCCCGATGCCCAAATAAGTTTTCAGAGACAACTGCCTCAAGTCGAGCTCCTTCCTGGGGACACAGGCCTCAATGGCCACTGGAAGGAAATCCAGAAAGCCATTCGCGGAGCCGCGGTGAAGGCCTTCGGGAAACAGAAAGTCAGACCCAGGAAGCCGCACAATCGACCGGCCACCTTTGCCATGATCCGCGTCCGACGAGCTGTCCGCGAGGCGTTATTCCTCGCGTGCAAGGCTTGCCTCCAAGGCGAGGACTTGCGCTTGGACCAGTGCCCGGGTGGATCCCGAATGCACAGCGCTGCTCTCGTTGGCCGTTTCTGTTATATCTCGCTGTCAGCATCAGTAGAGGAGAATCCCACCAGCCCTCTGGGCGTCGGTGGTTTAGGGCGTTTCCTCTTCCAACCCTCCCTCTTCCCCTTCGGGGAGGGGTTTACCCCTCCCCCTACCCCCTCCCCATGGACCTGGACAAAGGGGTTCCGCGAGGTGTCGGAGCGCCCAAAACTGCCTCGGCGAGGAAGCAAAAAATCATTGGCGTCACTATGGTTTTGGCCCCATTTTGGCCTCATGGGGGGGGGGGGAAGGCATCGACGATTCTTGCGGTGTCCGGTGTCCGGTGTCCGGTGTCCGGTGTCCGGTGTCCAGTGTCCGGTGTCCGGTGTCCGGTGTCCTGTGTCCGGTGTACGGTGTCCGGTGTCGGAAGTCCGGTGTCCGGTGTCCGGTGTCCAGTGTCCCGTGTCCGGTGTCCGGTGTCTGGTGCACGTGTCCGGTGTCCGGTGTCCGGTGTCCGTTGTCCGGTGTCCCAGGGACTCCGAACTACTTAAATCTTAGTGGTTCCGCTAAGATCTTTGAGTGTGTAAGTTGCTATTGCAAAACTAAGATCTTAGTTTTGCAACTAAGATCTTAGTTTTGCAACTAAGATCTTAGTTTGTTAGCTGAAGTGAGATTCCGCGGTGCGGATTCTTCGCGGAGCGGGCGGGTCACGGGTGGGTCGCGGCGCGGATGGGTCGCGGTGCGGGTGGGTCGCGGGGCATGCGGGTCGCGGGTGGGTCGCGGCGCGGGTGTGTAGTCGCAAGGCGGGTGGGTCGCGGGCGCCGCGTTTGTCCGCCCGCCTCCTCACTCTTGTCCGCAATTGCGGGGTGCACCAACGTATTAGCAGGGCACGACTTGGCGGCGCCTCGAATGGGGCAGGCGGCCCTGCGAGGTTGAGAGCTCACCGTCGTTGGTCGTCGGTCTCCAGGGCGGACGGCAGGAGAGGAGGGCCGCGCGCGCTTGCACCCCGCGCGTGCTTGCACCCCGCCCGCGGGGGGGCCACCCGCGCGCGCGAAGAGGAGGAGGAGGACAAGGAGGAGGAGGAGGAGGAGGAGGAGGACGACGACGACGACGACGACGACGGCGACAGAAAAACGACAGAGGAGGAGAAGGAGGAGGAGGACGAGGAGGAGGACGAGGAGTAGGACGACGACGGCGACGACGGCGACAGAAAACCGACAGAAAAATGACAGATACGACAACGACGACGACGACGACGACGACAAGAGGGCTCCAAGACGGCCCCACGGGGCTCCAAGAGGGGCCCAAGAAGCCTCCAAGAGAGACCAAGGCTCAAGAGGGCCCCCAAAGGGCCCCGAACCCAACTCCATGTCGTGGAGTTGGATTTCGCTGCTTCCATGAGCCGTCTTGGGGCCCAAGACGGCTCGAAAGACGGCCCTAGAAGCCCCAGAGACGGCCAGAACGGCCCCACGAACCCTAGAAGCCCCAAGGCGGCAAGTTCGACCGACAACATTCGGTATCGCATAGAATGGGGAGAACAACAAAAAAGAGAAACGGCCAGAACGGCCCCAAGAACGGCCCAAGATGGCTCCAAGATGGCCTAACAAATGGTCTCTGAGGGCCCCGATTTGGGGCCCAAGACGGCCCGACCCCCTTTGGATTCCCCCAGGGGGTGGTCCGTGGACTCCTCTGGGGGGCACTTCTGGTGGATATCCTGGAACCCTCTTGGGGTTCCGTCTTGGAGCCATCAGGGGCCATCTTGAGCTCCTTGTCCTCCTCTTCTCATTATTCTTCGTCGTCGTCGTCCTCCCCTCAACGTGAGCTGCCAGATATGTTGGATCTATGCGACGGCTGGCGGCGAAGTTCTGGGGTGCCCTGGTGTTTAGAACCCCACTCCCCTACGATTTCGAGGAAGGTCCGTCTGGGGGAAGGTCCGTCTGGGGGAAGGGTCCGTCTCACTCTTCAACAATTTTTCTCATATTTCCCCCACCCAACAAGTACACCTCCCCCCTCACTCTTCAACAATTTTTCTCATATTTCCCTCCTCCTGTCAGCCTTCTGGCTTTTCAGATTCACGCGGGCCGGCCCACCGGCCATGGAGGAGCTCGAAGGCCTCGTCGTGTGCGGCATCTCTGTGCATCAGTGCCGCGCGGCACTGATGCACGACCGCGTTGGCGATTTTATCGAGGTCATGGGAGGACTTCCGCTCCCGCCCCCATTCCCCCCATTCCGGTCGGGGTCCGTCCCCCCCCCTCTTGCCCCGAGGATCTAACAAACTGACCTGCCACTTCCGCAAGGCCGCGTACCACTCCCAGAACTTCAACAAGTTGCTGGATGAGACTCAGGAGCGGATTAGGTGGATAGGAAGGGAGGTGGAGGGCGGAAGTGGATGGAGAAGGGAACGGGGGGATATGGGGAAGGGAGGCCGAGGAGGAGAAAACGGAGGATAATAAGGATAGCGCAGGGGGGGTCAAAGGTGGGAGGAGGGCAGGGCAGTTTGAGCCCGAACATTCAGCGACATAACAATGACAGAAAAAATGTAGAGGACAGAAAAATGACAGAAACATGACAGAAAACAGAAACATGACAGAAACATGACAGAAGACAGAAAAATGACAGAAAAATGACAGAAAACAGAAACATGACAGACAAATGACAGAAACATGACAGAAGACAGACAAATGACAGACAAATGATAGAATACAAACTATTACAGAAAACTGCAAAGTAGGTGCCTGACACAATCCATGAACAAAGAGAAACCAAAAACAATAAGCGTGACACAAACCATTGCGATTCTGGGAAACCCGCATAAGTGCTGAAACGTGCCACGGTACTGGACATGGCATGACAAATGTTGACGTCGGCCGCCTCAGGACTTTGCCACGGACCTGGGCTTCAAGAAGGTCCTCTGCGCTTTGATGGAGCTGAAGGAGGGCGGCGTGATTTGGTTTTCGCCGCCGTACTGTGGAGACCCGCAGGAGAACGACATTCAGAACGTCGCCGAGGCCAAGCGCGAGGAGTACCTCGACACGGCGAAGAAGGTGTGCTTCTTGGGCATGGTCGCAGTGCGGCGCAAGGTCACGGTCATCGTAGAGTGCGCGCGGGATAGTTGGTTCTGGAAGTACGGCCCGTGGATGACCATGGTGGAGTCCCACGGCATGTACTGCTCCGACGTTGTGTTCTGCGCGTACTCCGATGACGCGCCCTACGATACGTTCCAGCACCGCATCAGGCTCATGGGGACCGAGTGGTGGGTGGGCCTCCTAGGCAGCAAGTGCACCCACGGAGAGGGAGTTCACCCGCGTGCCCGCTTATGCTGGTTCAACGAGGTCTACCCGCCGAAATTCTGCCAGTTTGTCGTCGAGACTTACAAGAAGTTCGCCCGCGTGGAGCCGCTTGACCCTGGCCCTGTCCCGTACGCGGAAGCTCTCTCGCAGTCTGGAGTCGATGCGGATTTCTCGCTCGGCATGGGGTTCCTCGGCGTCGAGCGGCCCAGGAAGTTGGCAAGAACGGATTCGGCAGTGTCGGAGCGGCTGAGCGCCCCGTTGGACGGGCTGAGCGAGTCGGACAAGGAGCCCGATAGCATAGGCGGCGATGGTGCCAAGATCGAGGACCAAGCGTTTTTCATGACGAGCACGCCCCAGCGAGACAGCAACGGCAAGTACACGAAGGAGAGCATGGACAAGTTCGTGGACGAGCAGAAGGCCATCCAGGCGAGCCTCGAGCAAGAGGAGATGGACCGCAAGCTCGCTATGCGCATGCAACAACAAGAGGTGCGAGACACCCTTAAGGTCACGGGTTCTCACTCGAGCCGTCGCATAGGGTGAGGGAGTAGGAGCAACAGGAAGAGGAGGATGAGGATGAGGAGGGGGAGGAGTGCGAGGAGGAGGAGGAGGAGGAGGAGGAGGAGGAGGATAAGAGGCGGGGAAGGGCGGGGGGGACGATTTGGGGAGGGGAAGGAAGATGGGGAGGGGGGAGAAGAGGAGGGAGGAGGAGGAGGAGGAGGAGGAGGAGCCCGTTTCCTCCCCTCCTCAATATTAAACATTCTCATCGTTGAGCTGTCCTTCCTCCTCCAAACCACCATGGAAGAGGAAGGGCGCCTGGCGCCCAGGAACACCAGGAGTCCAGGAAGCCAAGAATCCTAGGGAGGGGCCCCCTGGTACCCCACCGCCCTCCTCGCCCGCAGGCTGATATCGCGAGGGCTTCCGAGGGCGCGGCCGCCTCGAGCATTCGCGTGGAGGAGGTCGACAGCCCTCCCATCGCAGAGATCGACACCGCGATCGCAGTCGACGAGGTCGACAGCCCCCTCGAGCCCTCGGAAAGTGAGAGGCCCACGCGGTGCCCTCTGCGCTGCCCCGTTCCCGCGTTCCGCGACCCGAGCCCGTCGAGCACGTCTGAGAGCGACGGGCCTGCGTGAGCAGTCGAGCGGCCATCGGAGGGGGAGGGGGAGGAGGAGGGGGAGGAGGAGGAGGAGGAGGAGGAGGAGGAGGAGGAGGAGGAGGAGGAGGAGGAGGAGGAGGAGGAGAGAGGAGGAGGAGGAGGAGGAGGAGGAGGAGGAGGAGGAGGAGGAGGAGGAGGAGGAGGAGGAGGGGAAGAGGAATCTAAGGAGGAGGATGGTTGAGGAAAGTAAGATGGGGCGAGGAGGATGATGATGATGAGGAGGAGGAGCAGGATGAGGATGCGGATGAGGAGGAGGAGGAAGAGGATGATGAGGAGGAGGAGGAGGAGGAGAAGTGCAAACGCACCCGCCCCCTCAGCGAGGCAGTGCGGGGCTCGCAGTTTGTCAGAGGGTGGCGAATCCAGCCACGTCCTCATTCTAGCCCCCAGCCTTATCCTCACTGCTCAGCCCGAACATCCCCCGCCCTTCGCCCCTGCCCCTGCTATTTACTGGTTGGATCGCATTGCCGCGCGCGCTCGCGGCTTCGGTGAGTTCGTTGAGGGCCGCGCGCTCTCGTGATTGTTGTGACCGCGGTGCCTCTCCAGTTCCACTCGGTTGGAGCGCAGTGATAAGAATGCTGTGGCAACTCTGTGTGAAGCGCAGGGGAGACTTCCCAGAAGGCGCAGATTCCCTTCGCCCACCCTCGGGCCCCTGACACCCCTTTGTCCCCCTTCGGTACCCGACGACAACGGCGACAACGACAACGACGACGACGACGACGATTGGTTTCAAACTCATTTGAAAAAAAACGACGGCGACGACGTGTTTCGAAACTCTTTTTTTCGACGACGGCGACGACGACGGCGACATCACAATTTCATCTTCCAGGCATTCAAAGCCTCGATTTGACAAAAAAACCTGTGAAGAAAAGTAAATCTTTTTTTCTGGGAAGTCGATGACGACGGACGACGACGACGACGACGACGACGACGATTCACCCCCGACAGGTACCGAAAGGGGGGGGTAGGGCACCTGTGACTCACTCTCGGTCCCTCTCGGCCCCCCATCGGCCCCCCATCGGCCCGCCTGCCTCAGCCCCATCCTCCCCCCCCTGCAGTAGCAAGTTTTGCTCTTCAGCAGCATGCCTGTCAAGCGTGAGCGCCCTGCCTGCTGGAAGAGCGTTGGCGACACCGATACTGCAAACATGATTGCGCCTCATGTGGCCCTCAGCATGTCCGTGATTGCGGCCAGCGGCCTCTACGGATCAACGGAGATGAGGAAGGGCTTCGACGTTGGCTACTTGGATGCAGCCAGTAAGACGCTGCACGCCCTCATGGTGTTGGACCCCCGTGGAGGCTACTTCTCACAGGACGACATGCGGCGCGCAGTTGCCATCAGCTGCACTGATCCAAAGGTCGATCGAGTGGTGCAGAAATTGGCGAGGGACCTCGTGAGGCCGTATGATACAGTGATTGGGCTTATAGGGTACTCCTACAGAGTGATGCTGTCGCACGTCAGGGAGAAATTCTTCCAGTACCTGAAGGCCGTGGCGAAGGCAGGGGGGGCGGCCCACGTGGAGCCTTCCACCGAACACCCGCCCAGCATTTTCAACATCTACAAGATCTTCGAGGCCCACTGCCCCGCTCCTGGCATGAAGCCCGCGAGGAGCAATAGGAAGCCGTGCCCCGTCCCTGCATTTCGGCAGGACGCAGAGAGCGTGATCAGTTCCTCTGAGAATTCGGACACCGACTCCGAGGACGACGTCGTGTGCCCGATCACTGATGATGCTGGGTGGACTTATTTGTTGAGGGTCAGCGGGGCTCACGACCGCGCGGAACGCCACGAGAGAGGCCCCAACGGGTTTGCGCTTGCAGTATGGAGCAACGGCTACACACACGAGACCCTGTCCTTGAACACGGACATCATGGAGGACGGCAGCTTGCGGACGACCCAGCCGCTGCCGCCCCAGCCCAAGAAGAAGGCAAAGGCGAAGGCAGCCGCCGCCCCAGTGGCGAAGGCGAATGCCGCTCCTTTAGTAGGGAAAGCAGCCCCAGTGGCGAAGGCGAAGGCCGCCCCCTCAGTGGCGGGCGGAGTTGCATATATCGGCGCCAGCTCCAGTGATGACGACAAGCCTGCAGATGCAGCCGAGGTCATATGCGTCGATGCTGGCCCTGCCGCCCGTGACGACGGCCGCAGGATAACTCTGAGGAGGACGCCAGGCCACAACGGCTCGCAGACTTTGATCATGCAGACCACGTGGAAGGACAAAGCCCAGATCGCTGGTTGTTCCGTGAGGGAATGCGGCGAGGGCATCACCCCAACCGAAGTCATTGACAAGGTTCAAGAGGAGTTGGGGCCCTTCGCGCTGTCGCTCAAGGGCACAGTGAAGGACCAAGCCCCCGAGGTACTCCAGGATATCCGTGACAAGGCGCGCGCTGCTAAGGAGCGCGCGCTTAATTAGCTTTCGCATGCCCAGCAAACCTCATCATTCCTCTTCCTCGCTCATCCTAAACACTCCATCCTCTCTCCCTGCCCCCTCCCACTCCCCCCCTCCCTCCCCCCCCTCCATCGCATGAATTTTCTCTTGCCCGCTCCTGATGGCGCCGTCGTCGGGGCGTTGCGTGGAGCGCGGTTGCATGGCGCGCGGAGCTGAGAACAGAGCTGGCGGCGAGATTCTCTGACCGCACATCGATCGGCGCTGGAGAAGCGCTAGTAAACACCGTTCCGACCCCTCGCCCTCCGAGTAGCAAACAAATCCAGAACTTCAGAAGGAGCGGGGACACAATGGATAATTTTTGGGGGGCGCATGCTTGATCTGGGAAACGCCGGAGTTTCACATCTCGGGTGATGAGGCCACAGAGGCATCAGAAACTACGAGAAAACAAAAACACTCTGGCGTTCTCGCCTCGGCGCCCTCGCCTCGGCGCCCAGCCATCGGAAAGCGCCGCCGCCTAGGCACCCGGAGGCCACGCGCCCCGCGAGCGCGGCAGGCGACAGAAAAATGACAGAAAAATGACAGAATTCTGTCATTTTTCTGTCACTGGATTTTCTGTCATTTTTCTGTCACTCAAATACAATTAAAAACAACATGTAAATGAGTGACAGAAAAATGACAGAAAATCCAGTGACAGAAAAATGACAGAATTCTGTCATTTTTCTGTCATTTTTCTGTCGCCTGCCGCGCTCGGAGGAGAAAAATGACAGAATTCTGTCATTTTTCTGTCATTTTTCTGTCGCCTTCCGCGCTTTTCCTGGCCACGCGGTTCCGAGCGCCGCGGCGGATGCGCCTTCCGATGTTTCTCCTGCTGCTTCCTCCTGCCACATCCTCCCCCTGCCTCCGCCAGCGTCACCTTGTCCGCCCTCCTCCAAAACGCAGGTTCTGTGCTCGAGCTTTCAGGCTAGACTACTTGGGTCAGATAGTCGGTGCCTACTAGCTCGACCTGGAGCGCTCGATGGAGATCGCAGCGCCTGCTGGCGCGGCCACCGCTGATAGTGACGAGTCGCCTCTCATGAAACGGCCAGCTGCGGGTGTGATGAAGAGGCCAGCTGCAGCGAATCGCCGAGTGGATGACGATGCTGGTTCAGATTTGTTGTTCAGTTCCGAAGCTGAAGCTCAAGGCCCTCCGACAAAGAAGGCAAGAGGAAAGGGAAAAGCAAAGTCGAAGGCTCAGGCATGGGGAGAGACGAAGGCCGCCGCTGCGAAAGCTGGGCCGAAGGCATCCCCGACGAAGCTCGAGGTGAAGATCGAGAAGGACAGCGAGATCAAGGAGGAGGCCAAACCCGAGGATAAGATGCTGCCTGAGGCTTCTGGAGCTGCTGCGGTGGCGCCCCCAGTTGAGCACCCAGCCGTCGAGCAAGAACCGGAGGAAAAGAATGGTGGCCCTGGAGACGAGGATGGCGACGCTATCTCGGAGGAGGAGAAGAAGGAGCTTGACAAGTTGAAGGGCCGCAAGGTTCCTCCCGCGGTCCAGCGGGCCAAAGAGAAGCTGGCGGAGAAGGGGCTCAACCTTGCGAGCTTGACGCCCGAGCAACTAAAGAACGAGCTTCCTCGGGAGACGATGAAGCAGTTGTTCCAGTCCTACGGGTACGTCCTGAAGACCGCCTGCCCTCTGGTGCACTCCAAGTTCGAGAAAAAAACCGAGTGGGAGAAGCGGCAGTGGCTGGTGAAGTACATCATGGACCCGAACTCGGGGGGCTGCACTGGCACGAGCTCCATGGGGTTGTCCAACGAGAGCATCGAGAAGGGGACCGAGGAGTGGATTACAGAGGAGCAAATGGCTGGACCGAACTACGCCAACTCCAGAGAACATGCCAAGATGTACACCCAGGTCCTCGAGGATCGGCCCCACGAGATCCCGTTCTTCGCGGAGAACGGAGTGTTGCAGTACAAATGGAGCAAGGAGATCATCTCGAGGCTGAATAGGAAGACAGAGAAGACGAGCGTGGAGACGAAGTCCGACATGGAGGCTTCAGACTACTCGAGGATCAGAGACTCCATGCTCAAGCTCAGCCCGATCACATCTTCTTCGCATGGCGAGGCCCATCAATCCCCGAAGGTCGACAGCCTGGAAAAGAAAGACAAGAAAGAGAAGAAAGAGAAGAAAGATAAGAAAGAGGCTAAGCCAGAGGACCCCGAAAAGGCCGCACACAGGGAGGCGCTGAAGCTCCTCGACGAGGAGATCAAGAAGGGCAAGCTGTGGGCTCGCAAGACGTCTGATGAATTGGCGGAGGTACCTGCTCTCTGCAACAAGCTGACGAAAAAAAAGTACCCCGAAGCCATGACGACCTTCCTGACTGGGCGAGCCTCCGAGTTCCGCAAGATGGCCGAGTCGTTCGTCAAGACGCAGTACACGGATGCCAAGACGATTCACCAGAACGGCAACGACCACACGACCGATCAGATCAACCAGCAGACGGCGCTCCTGAGGGCGAAGATCGCGGAGAACGAGGACTCACCCTCTCCCTACTCCCTCCTTCTCCCCTCCCACCCCTCCATCCCGCACTAGGAAGGAACAGGAGGAGGGTGAGGGGGAGGAGGA